AAAACTGAAAATCCTATTGGTTAGATAGAGCAAGCGAGAGCGAAAGGTTGTGGATATTGAGAGAGAGAGATAGAAAGAGATGACAAGAGAAGAAGAAGAAAAAGAAGAAGAAGAAGGTGAACATGGGCTTACTGTTATTTAATATAAATCGATAACAATTATATATTTAAATGAAATGCGCTTCTGTGTATTATTACTCTACTCTAAGAGAATACATTTCAAATGTGTTCGTTCTGTAGGCATTTCTGTTGTCAACAAAAGGAATGGAGAGAGCAGAGACACGACGTCATGTAATGCAGACAGACCGATTGACTATAAGCTTCATAAATAGATTTAAGTGTTGTGTGTGCTTTGGTTTTTTTATATACGTTTTTGTTTGTGTATGCGTGTAAGTGTGTGTGTATGTCCGTGCCTCTGTGCCAGTGTGCGCATGAAGACAAAAGCAATGAATGATTTGTCTCTACTTGTCTAGGCGTCCTAAAGTGTTTATGCAATAATTGTATGAGCAATTCATACAACTTGAGTGCCAGACATTGGGGAAAAATAAACCGGAAACATTTGAAAGGAATTGCAATTTCTTTTATTTTATTTTGCTGTATATGTCTGTGTCAGGATTGTTTTCCCAAGTTGAGCTAAAAGCGTGTAAATGTCGGAAAGAAAATTTATTTCCGTATGCATGCATGCAAAGGTTACACGTGGCTAATCTTTCTCTTCCACGCACACACACACACACACGCACGCAAACCAATCTAAGCGTTACATATGCAGGTATTTATTGCGTCAAATAATAAAAGAAGTGATTTTGAAATTTTTTGATTTAGTGTAATAAATAACAATAATTCTTTATAAATTGACAACCGATATATTAATATAAGCTGTGTAATTGCTGCGCCTACGTAATATTCCAAATTTGAAAAAAGACACTTGCTCTTGGTTTGTTTACGTTAAAAATTCCTTTATTAGTTTTTACAATGCTTAACATCGAAAATCCTCACCCTTTACAAAATGTATTGTCTGTGGTCATCAAACCGCCCTCATTGCATGCTTGCGAAACACCACCACAATCGTTACCTTAAATCCTGTATATGTGGAACAAAAAAAAAAAAAAATATTAAAAGAGAGATAGAGAAGAGGAGAAAAGAAAGTGTACACACCCTTTAAAAACGCATTATCTATAAGTACTTTTATGAGAACGACTACGGCGACACCAATCGAACGAACAAACAACGAAGAAACGAAAAACCTATAGATATATATAGGGTTTAAATATCTATTTTGTTGCTGGCAATGTTTAACTTGAAATTTATTGAGGTAGTTGTTAACCAATATATTAACTACCGACACCACCATCACCACCACCGTTATCTCTCACATTTTTAAGCATTCTCACACACATTCGCTAACTCATTAGCAGTTTGGTCTCATATGAGGTGCAATAGGAAAAGCTGCATATTTAAATCCTTTCGCGCTCTTGTGTTTATTAGTATGTGCATTTGTGTTTTTGTACATACATTAAATATAGTTTTTCTTGTTGTTGCAAAAATTTAATTTAAAACTTTTTCTGCACTCTTTCTCTTCAATGGCAGCCTATAATTAATGCATTGCTGTTGTCGGTCGTTAGTCGTCGTTATTTTTATGCGACTTTCTTTCCTTACTGTAAAGAAAGGAATATGTTTAAAATATTTTTGACAATTTATTCATTTTCATTTCCATTTCGCGACCTTTGCTTTTGTAACTTTGCATGAAAGTCGACTCAGTTGTATAATTCCTATGGCATATTCCGATCCAATGAAAAATTATGGAGGGAGGAGCGAATTAATTTTGGTTAAAAATAACCAATGAACTCGGACACTCATATCAACATAACCTAGAATAAAAAGAAAAATTTTACCGTCTTTCTAAATATATACTTATGCTCGACAATTCTCGTAAATGTACGGTTGCATAATGCAAGCATTTTAAAAGTACTGTTTACAGTTTTGGCAAGGAATATTATGAATGTTTCTACTAATATTTGTATATATATGTTACGTATATATATATTTATGCATGTACAGATATTTTGTTCTTTTATTTAACTGTCATTTCATAGCAATTTGAAAAAAGAGAACATAATGGAGATGAGCGAGTATAAGATTTTATTATGCTTATGCCGAATCTATCATCCTTCCTATTGCTTTATGTCCCGGCAACAAAGTTTCCATGAAAATTGTTTAAAAAGCACGGACAGTTGTAAAGCCATAGGGCGTTGCGTCCAACTAAGCATATCTCATATATATTTAAAAATCTACTAAAGATTCTTTGCATTCTTTGCGAGCGTACGAGATCGTTTTTTTTTTTTTTTCTAAAGAAAACCCAATTTTTATGCGGGTTGAGAATGAAAAACGCGTAAGTAGCCCCTGGCGCGGAACAGCTTAATAAGCATAGCCCTTCCGACTATCGTAAGATTTTCTGTTTTTTTGCAATCCTATAAACGATATTCTAATATTATTACATATTTTTTGAAAAATTTTACGATCACAAAATTTTTAGAGAAAACATTCGAACTATATTGTTCCAAGTGTAAAAAAAGGGGCGCAAGATCTGTTACGTCACAACTTTGTAAAATCCTACACCCTACAAATTATAAAAATTATCATACTTTTAGTGCCTACACTGTAAGCGGATATATTTCTGTTCTCCTTTATTATTTTCTATAATTGAGCGAATAATCTTTCAACTTAAATCTATGAAATATATGCGCCAATGTATATTTATAAATAAATTTATCAATATCAAGCATGGATACACACGCTCAAATGTTTGAAAAAAATTTCAATGTCAAATAAGTAAAAAAAAAAAAAAAAAAAAAAATAAGAGAAAAAAGTTGAAACATTAACACTGAAAGAAAGATAAAGCGAAGCAAATACAAACCAAAGCGATAGTGCAAAAATATAAATAAATGAAAATATATTGAAACAGTACATGAATGTGTATATAATATGCGTGCAAATATAGTCGGTATTGTTTATTTTTTTTGCTTTTGCTTTTGCTTTTGTAAATTTATTTATAATATTTAAAATAACATAACATGAAGTCATGGCGAGACTTTCTGTCTATAACAATAGGCGTTAGTAGCATTTTTAATAAAAGTGTGTAAAGATATATGTATATGTATGTATGATATGCTGCTTCACACGAAGCGAATAATAGAGAATAAAAGCGTTTTTCAATATTTTTTCAATGCTTTTGTAATAATTATCACCGCAAGGCTACGCGTGGGTACGTTAATTTTTTTATTCCGTTTGTATCCCGGGGCAAAAGACGAAACACCACACCCAGCTTTCATATGGGAACCATATTTATTGTGAGTTATATATTGTTTGGTCCGTCCATCCGATCCTTTCTACTCTTGTTGGTGTTCTCTCAGTCATAAAAGTTGGAATTTGATGTTGTTGTTGTTATGCATTGTAATCCAATCGAGAATGAATTTCTTATTTAAGATCAATGCAGGCTTCTTTCTGTTTATTTATTTATTTATTTATTTATTTTTTCTATAAACAAGATAAAATACGTAACGATTTAAGTACTTAAATGTTATATCTATACTGCTTTGTTTAATGTTCGTAATGTTGATTAAAAGTGGGCCAAAAGGTTTATATGTTATATACGTTGATTATAATTATTGTTATCAGGCACGTAACTATCGCATTGTGCGCCTGACTACTCTCATAAACGATACCTACTAGTTTACTGCACTATTTATATTATATTTATTATAAAACATGCAATTCATTGATTTTAATATCTGTGGATGGTGCTAAGGCTAAGGAGTCAATTCAATGCTATATATACAATATAAATTTGTTGTACCTTAATAAGTGTGCCAAGTTTCAATGCTCAATGTTTAACACAAAAGCTACTGCCGAAGACGATCGAGCAACGGATTGAGGAAAAAAGGATCGCATCCTACGGTAGATTTATGTTCATTCAGGTTTTACTTATTCTATTATTTCTCATCGGTATGCGGGTGACAAGTTCCCATCTCCGATTATATCAAAATGCAATCTAAGTAATATTAGCTATTGTCTCGTCTCTTGTGCAAATTTTCACGCGAGGCTTGTAGGTGCTCGACCAGAAGACGAAAAATATCTTGACGAAAAACCACCGATAAGAAAGAACAAATATCTGCTTGCTAGCTTTAGGGAGGGATCTAAAAGCACTTTTGGCTTACAGCGGTAAAACAGCTGCTATTTTAGCAGTAAGTAGTAGTAGTAAGAAGTAGCAACATGTTCTGCGACAATGTGTTACAAGAAAAGCAGAAAACTTGTAAAGAATGTATAAATAAAATTATTTACCCAACATATGAAAGCTAAAGAATTGAAAATTTTTTGCCATAGACTGTTATTAGCAGCGGAACCGGTACCCTTATAAACATTACCTTTCATAAGACCGTAAAATTTATATAACTGTGTCTATGCGGCCTTTAACAGATAACAATCCTCCTTAAGCTAAGACCGTATGTTCGCGTACACGAAAGGAAAGGATTTATTATATATTTTTCTGTTGGTCCGATCCATTTGTCTTCATTATCAGTTCTGCCCATAGATTGCCCAGATTAACAGATCAATCGTTATTAAAACCATAGGAATCGTTTGTCCGCTTTACCTAACTCCTCTAATTCTAAATTCTCGGTTGCGATTACTGTTTGTGTACGCAATAAATTAGATTTTGGTGTTTATTACATCAATTAATTCTTTTCTATTTTTCTCTGCTGTCACGTATTTTACATAACCATTAATTTTAAATGCTCTGTACAGTTGCTGTAGTAGTTACTGTAGGGGCAATGTCCCCAATTTAATTTGTTGATTATTGTCGGTGAAGATATTGAAATGCTTATTAATCGAAGCATTGGTATTATTGGCATATTGCTCCGGCAGAAGAAGAAGAAGAAGAAGAAGATATTATGATTACAGAAAGAAGTAAATAATAATCGCTTCTATTTTTCATTGTATTTACAGAAATGGCGGAAGGTAATGGCGAACTGGTAGATGACATCAATGTAAAATCAGAAGATCGCGGCGATGGTGAAAGAACAGAAGATTATCCAAAACTCTTGGAATATGGCTTAGATAAAAAAGTAAGTGCGTTTTACTCGTTGTCTAAGCAAAATTATACGCCGCCTATAGGCGACAAATCATATCATCTATGCCTTATTAGTTGTTGTTGTTGTTGTTGTTGTTGATGTTTCGGTTAAATATGTGTCTTTGCTGCGCAAATAACACAATGACATAAGGATCAGGAACACCCGGGTGTTGACTGCCCACCGCGTTCTCGTTTTTTTTCCTTCCTATCGTTTTCTTATTTCTGATACGTGGCGAGAGTAATAAGGGAAGTGATGGACTTTTTTTATTTTCTTGCAATCTTTTTCAGTGTACAATTCTTCTGACTTGAATAGTACATATATATATATCAGATATTTACTGGGAAATATTTAAGCACACGAACGAAATGAATATCGAAAACTTGAATAAGAAGCGATCATTTTCTCTTTCCAAGCTTTTCCCCATGCACAGTTTCTTAAAGGAGCACAGATTGGGCACAGAATGACTTTGTCATTTAAATTGACTGCCTCAAGTTGGGACGATAGCTCTAATTATAGACTCCGCACACATTATTTTCTATAAAAAGCAAAGCTTTACATGGTAGCAATGCCCAAAGCGATATAGAGCGATAGAGTGCATTCACTTCCGGAAAAATGTCAAACCAATTTGGTTCACGACATCTAAACTTGGTCTCAGATTAGTTATTCCATGCATGCATGTACCATGTGGCATTACTGCCATCTAAGCTTGTCGCGCTCATAATATCATGTGTGACGAATTGAGAGATTGAGACTTTTTGGTAATTAATTCATTGGATTTCTTCATTTTAGGTTGCCGGTAAACTTGATGATATTTATAAAACAGGAAAGTTAGCTCACGTTGAGTTAGATGAACGCGCATTGGATGCGTTAAAGGAATTTCCGGTAGAAGGTGCCTTGAATGTATTAAGTCAGTTCCTTGAATCAAATCTGGAACATGTATCGAATAAATCTGCTTATCTATGTGGTGTTATGAAAACCTATAGACAAAAAAGTCGAGCCAGTCAACAAGGTGTACCCACGCCAGCAACTACAGTGCAAGTGAAAGGACCAGACGAGGAGAAAATCAAAAAAATACTCGATCGTACCGGTTACACTTTAGATGTAACCACCGGTAAATATTTGTGATTAACAAAAAAAAAAAAAAAATTTTTTTTTAATTTAAATTTTTTCGTTTTTTTTTTTTTTTTTTTTTTTTTTTTTTTTTTTTTGTAAATTAGGTCAACGTAAATATGGTGGTCCGCCGCCTAATTGGGATGGTCCCACTCCGGGCAACGGTTGCGAAGTATTTTGCGGGAAAATACCGAAAGATATGTTTGAAGATGAGTTAATACCTTTGTTTGAGAATTGTGGCACTATTTGGGATTTAAGATTAATGATGGATCCCATGACTGGTACAAATCGTGGCTATGCATTTGTTACATTTACCACAAGAGAAGCCGCTTCGAATGCAGTTAAACAGGTATTTATCTCTTTTTGAATTTTTTCTCTTTTATTCAAATATTGTTTAGAAAAAAGAAAAACTAATTGTTTATCAAAAAAAAAAGTAAAATCGCATTTCTTTAGAAAAATTACAAAAAAAAATTTCTAATATTATATTTTTATATTTTTTTAAACTTACGCAAAGATTTGGCTTTAATATAAATTCACATATATTTTTTAAGGCTTTTGCGATTAATATTAGAAAAAAATAGTAATTATATTTAAAAAATAAGCGAACGATTGATTTTTAATTTCTAAGCAAATGCAATACAACATCCGAAAGAATAACTTTCTTTCAAACTTTTATTTTTATTTTATTTTTTTTTTTTTTTTTTTTTAATATATATATAAAACTCTACTCCAAGCTTTTTCTTTATTTTTATTTATAACTCTGTCTATATATATATATATAAATATATATATATATATATATATATATATACAAGCAGTTTGAAATTTCTTCTTTAGTTTCAATCTATGAATAATAGGAAAAGAGAAAAATTCTTTCTATTCAGAAAAACCTTTTTTAAAAGCTATTTTCCAATGTTTTTTGCTGTAATTTTCTCTTCTATTCATTTATTACTTTAAAAAACTCTGTAACTTTAAAGTAGTTGTTTAGATTTTGAATTGCATTGCATGATATTATAAAAAAAAAAAAAAAAAACAAAAAAAAAGCCAGAAAAAGCGTTACAAAAAATTTTCTGTATACCACCTTGTTGTGTTATTGTTATTATTATACCTAGAAAAACAGAGATTTAAAAAAGAAAACAAAAAAGAAAGAAAAAAAATTATTTGGCTGTAATATCGCTACCCAAGTTAATGTATACCGCTAAAACGAAATAGAAAACCGCGAATAATTGACAAAAAGCGAAACTCTGCGGTTCGCTCTCAAATATTGCCTTTTGAAAAGAAGTCTCTAAAGGATGTAAACCTTTCGTCCCTCCCAGTTCGCCTTTGCTGCTTTTTTTAATTTTTTCATATTTCCTCGCTCTATCTCTTTCTCTTTCTCTCTTTCCGCTTTCTTTTTCTTTTTCTTTCCCTTTTTTGTTTTTTCTACTTCTTCTATACCTGCTTCTTAGCTCGTAAATAGCATTATTGTTTGAATATGTTTTTTAACCTGAAATTTTTTTTTTAATCTCTTTTTAGATTTAAGATTTGTTCAAGCGATTTGTTTTTTTTTTTTTTTTTTTGACAGCCGTTTAATAAGTCACTTAAAGAAACCGAAATTAAACAAAATTCTAAATTTATTTCCAATTTAGCTTAGTGTAGTAGTTGTGCAACCGACGTTATTCACAATGATTTCTCCTCTTTGCATAAAAATGAAAGAAAAGAAAACAAAATGTGTGACATTTGAAACACTTTTTCTTCCTGTCGTTTTTATTATGCCCACCACAAGAACAAAAACCACTATATTAGGAGGATACACATCAACTATTTGTAAAGCCAGGAAACGGCAAACTGAAGGCGATGACAGCGGTTGGTGGTGTCCACATTAACAATCTGCGCTCGCACCGCTAACCGGCTTTTATAACTGCGCATTATCTCGAGATCACGCTGAAACTGCATGACGGTCCGATGGTTACGATATCAATTTTCTTTTGTGGCTAATGAAAACTACTTTAGAGATCCAGAGGCTTTGCCATGAAAAATTTCAAAATTTCCTAACTGTCGGAGGCGGACCCTACCTACCCTCTCAGCTGGCAGTTATATAACGTGTTCCCAATCAATCCGTCTGAAAGTGCAAAGAAATGATGATGATGATGATGTTGTGTTGTGTGTGTGTGTGTGTGTGTGTGGTGGGCATCAAAAATAGATTCGGCCCTATGTAAAAGCCGAATGTATAGTATCTTCTTATTCATTCTTCTTCTTCTTCTTCTTCCTCACATTTTTGTAAGTTCAATTCATCATCCATCCACTTTTCGTAGCTAAATAGTTTATATTTGTCAATATATCATATTACTGCTCATGGTTAGTTAAGTTAGTGTTGTCTGGTTTTATTTTGCTACAATTGTGCGAGCATGTCCTAATTAACACCTGTTACAGAAAAAAACACAACTAATCCCCAATATACCTAATTTAATTTAAAAAAAAATTTTTTTTTTTTTATTTTTTTACTAATTTTTATTAATCATAAACCGTATACTACTTTCTCTCTAATATCGGAAATGCTGCTGTGCCTATGGCCTAAAACTTCCCTCCTCTCTGGATAATATAGCAAAATTCAAAATTTTTATCACAACTCTTTCGGCAAAATTTTGGTAAACACAACAGATTTTGAATGGAGTTTTTTTTTTTTAAAGAATACATATTGTACATACATATATGTATGATGTGCACATATATTTACACTTTTATTGCATTGGTAATACACGCATACGAACAAAAAAGGAAAGAAAAGCGAAATTGATGGATTATGTGTTTTGTGTCTCTTCTTACGCCGTTGTGTTAATTCGTTCCGAAAACGACGCTTCCACGACACTTGATAAAAAAGATGATGTCTATGACAATGTTTGGCGAAATATGCCGGGCAAATATGCTCTCGCACTTATAACGGAAGAGAGGCTACTCTAAAATTTCAATTTTTATTGTTATTCACGATAGGACTGTGTTGGCGTTAATCAATAAAACGTTGTGCAGCGAGAAATTGTTGAATAAAGTCTGAGACAAGATTTTCACGTTTTTCTAACATTTTCTTGCATTACAACAATTACGTTAATATGTTAAGCGTGCGTCTATTAAAAAATATAAGAACATGAAAAGAAAATGTATATATATATATATATATATATAATACATATATATACATTATTTTTTGGAAAGTACTACAAATCATGCTGAATAGAGCTTACTTTTGACATTAGCAAGCTATGAAAATTTATTCATTCTCTTTACAAAAACGTTTTCGTCCGGCAACTTGTCTAACGAGGTATTGCGTCTCGAAAAGAATTCAAGCACTCGTTTTGCCATCTTCTAACGCCAATCGAAAATCGATTTAATTCATGTTCGTCTGTTAATAAAATTCTGAAACTTTTGAACATTAGCATATGCTCTGGTAACGGGTAGGATATGCATGGTGTTGTTGAGATTGGATTTCCGAGTATTATGGACTAAACGTATACATTCTTAGGCACCATACTATATGCCGTAACTGGGACTAAGTGGTACTGAACTGACCCATATATATATATATATATTGTTTATACATATATATATATTATTTATATATCATCATATCGGAAACCAATGCAATAGAAAATATGATTACAGGACATTTTATTTTTAATAACAGTATTGAAAACCTTTTTCCCTTAAAATTTTCACTATCAGTGAGAAATTTCCAAGATGTATTCCTAACAACTTTTCTTTTACTTCGTTTAGTAGTATGTGCTATATATATTCGTTTTGGTTTAGTGTGATCTAAATGACTTTCTTTATTATTAAATCTTTCATTATGTATAGTTTCTTCTTTTTTTTTTTTATATCATTTTATAATTTTTATTTTCCTTTTTTATTTTATTTATTAAAAATCATCGTTCATTTGATTCAAATTTGAAATTATTTTATTTAATTTTTTTTATACAAAACTATATTTTTTCTTATGTTTGTTTATTTTTTTTTGTCAATTTTATTTTTTTATAATTATAAATTTTTTATTAAAATCCCTTTTAAACTAATTACACGTAATAAAAAACAAAAAAAAAAAAAAAAAAAAACCATATTACCCTTTGTGTTATCCCCTCACTACTCTACAGCTCGATAATCATGAAATAAAACCTGGCAAGTGTCTAAAAATAAATATAAGTGTACCGAACCTGCGCCTATTTGTAGGCAACATACCTAAATCAAAGGGCAAAGAGGAGATTTTAGAGGAATTTGGTAAATTAACAGGTAAATTTTTTTTGCTTTCTTTTCAAAACAACAAAAAAATTCAATTTTTCAAAATATTATTCTTACAAAAAACGGAACATTAATAACATATACACTACGCTTAATGAAAATGGAATTTTCTTTATTTATTTATTTATTTTTTTTTTGTGCGTCTTGTTGCATCAGAGAAATATATGTTATTAATGTTTGTTTAAAAAATTAAGAAGAAGCATTAAGTTGTTTTATATTTGCTTCAATTGGCTATAAATACAAAAATCCAATTGGCTATAAGTAAATTGGCGAATTAAAGAAATTGAATTGGCTGTGATAATGGCAATGAAACGGCTGCGGGCTCGCTATTTTGTGCTAGGTTGGTTGGCTATGACACAAAGTTTCAAAAGGTAATTCGAAACGGTTATGTTATGCCTTCCACGGGGTTTGTTGGTATCAATTATTATCAGGTTTATATATGGTCCAAAACGTTTATCAATTCTTTCTTGTGCATATAGACAGGATTTAATTTAGAAAGTAAACCTATATATATATATATATGTAATCTCGATCGATAAACGTGAATAATGGAATTGGTTTAACAATGCCTGAGTGTTTTGCCTAAAACATTGCGGACAATCCTTTGTATTTTCATCTCAATAAACAAAAGAAAAACGTAGTCGTGCGTGCAGCTTAAATGTCATTTTATTTTCATCTGGTACCTATGCATCGAAATTTGTGTTAGACCTTAAACTATTCACCCTTATAAATGATCGCTCTTATCAGTCCATTGACCCGAGCGTTAAAAACGAACATAAAGACTACAGTGGGCCATTATATACTCTGCAACATCCCACAGTTCCATATATAACGAATTTTTAAGATAAAACAAGTTATATGGAAAGTGATCGCAAAAGAGGTCCGATCGCAACCATTTTCAATAGAGTTCGTTCTTGGTCCAAACTTTGTCGGTATACAAAAATTGCGGTCTTCAGGTTATGCGCTAATAGGTTACAAACATTGAAGTATGAAATTTGTAATACAAGACTGATGGACCCAGCCTCATAAGTAGTTGCATTAACTCGTGTATTGGCGTAACCCCCCGTTCTCTATATATTGTCAGGGTATTAAAAAATATTTTGCTATGAATACAATTTTTCCGTTATTTCAATGGATAGTTTCATCCGAAGATAAACCAAAAAGAAAAGAAAGGTAATTGAAAATGGGCTTGCACGCTCGAGCGCCCGTTAATTTTAAATACATCTATTCGTAGCCTTTTGAAGAGACTGCAAGCGAGGGATTGTGAAACTCAATTAGAAAACGATTCGATCCGCAGAAATGCAGGCGTTGTTAAGCAAATTCTACTTTTCATGTCAGTCCAAGAGAATATATGAAAGGTTTTCTTTTTCACCGGAAGCGATGGATATGAAACGATTTGATAAACCAGATAAACATAAATCTCCTTCTTGTTTTTTTTTTTTTTTTTTTTTTACATCACGATCGCACCATATCTTTTTGCGTTTGTTACAAATAAACATTATTTAAATTGAAAAGAGAAAAATAAATAAATAAATATAATAATATTTTCTACCCCAAATCTTCTTTTTAAATCCTTATAAAATATTTGCACCATTTTTTTGTTTTTTTGTTTTTTTTTATTCGTATAACAATGTACCACTACCATCATGATTCATCATTGAGACTCTTTTCAAATGCGTTTCTCAAAAATGAGCAAAGCTATATAACAATCATTACACAAATTGCTACTGCTCCTTCCTATACCCCCATATTATCATCAACGTATATATTTTTAAATTAGCTTTTTTAATGTATAATGTTTCGTTAATCTGAAGGCCTTGATGTACATTTTTTCTTTTTCATGTATAACATCTTCATTTCATAATTATGTATAGTAGAAAAACAAAAACTCATCTCTCATCTCTCTTGGCCGTGCTTTCATTACACTTTTTATATCCAATACATATCATGCAAAAAAAAAAAAAATAAAAAAATATTCATTATATGCTGTACAATACAATAAGTTTTTCTTTAAAATACTTTTTTTGACATACAATATATATATATATATATAAATCTCCAGTCATTAACTTTGCGTATATTTTCTGAAAAAGAAGAGAAAAAAACCGATATCTTTAAAAAACTACTTTACTATATTATTCAATATAATTTTTGCATTAAAAAGTTATCACCTTATTTAGCAAACATATATATATATTTTTTAAAAATTGGATATAATTTGATGATGGTTGGAGCGAGTGCATTGTGCAGTTTCCATATTAAGAAAGTAAGCGAGGATAGTTAATATTAACAAATCAGAGCTGCTTTGAAAACTAAAAAGCGCGAGCGTGGTTTCACTTTAAAGTAAATCCGTAACGTGATTTCCAGTCCCAATTACCGTAGTCGTCTAATGTCAAGGAGGAGTTGCGTATTTTAACGTATGAATACATCTGCATCTTCTACTGTTTTTTCAAAGCAGGGCGAAGTGCAAATACGTTCCATGCAGAAGCCTGTCTCCGTTGCAAGTTTTCCTCATGAAATATTTCTTAAGCAGATTTTTATTTAACTCTGTTTAAAATAAAACCAAAGCACTTTTCCGCGATCGTATCTTAGCGCATGCGGATTTTGCAGCGGTTGGAGCAGTGCATTGTGCACTTTCCATATTAAGAAAGTAAGCGAGGATAGTTAATATTAACAAATCAGAGCTGCTTTGAAACTAAAAAGCGCGAGCGTGGTTTCACTTTAAAGTAAATCCGTAACGTGATTTCCAGTCCCAATTACCGTAGTCGTCTAATGTCAAGGAGCAGTTGCGTATTTTAACGTATGAATACATCTGCATCTTCTACTGTTTTTTCAAAGCAGGGCGAAGTGCAAATACGTTCCATGCAGAAGCCTGTCTCCGTTGCAAGTTTTCCTCATGAAATATTTCTTAAGCAGATTTTTATTTAATTCTGTTTAAAATAAAACCAAAGCACTTTCCCGCAATCGTATCTTAGCGCATGCGGATTTTGCAGCGGCTTGCTTGATATCGCAATGTTTCTTCTTAAAAGCGATTTGCATCCCTACCGAAAACTCGCTACATTTCCGATTTATTATCTAGAAGATGGATGCGTCATCGATGGCCAAGATTTTTTTTGTTTTCAAATTTCTCTTTTAAAAAGTTCGTACAGCGTACCGCAACTGCTGCTTAATGCTATCGCAGCAATTTAAAACTGCCGATACTAAAGACTGGCAAGACCTTTTCTTTAGAAATCGTATTAAATATCGTCACTAAAACTGTTTTCTTTTCATGCCTGCCAATCAGATGACTTGGCATTCGAATGAAAGCAATTTAGCCGAGTAGGTACGAGTAGGAGCTACTGACAAATCAGTATTCGCGGGTTCAAATCTCTTTGCTTTGGTCGTTTCTATTGTCAGTATTCAACCGGCAAAGGACTGAGCACTTCTTTCTTGCGGTCACCGAAAGAGGGCGTGATTGACAATTAACTATGACGATGTGGTTGTCTTGATTCAATGACTGATTGACGAGTTCTTCTTTTGTGTCGAGGAAACTCGTGGACGATCAATAGAGTAAATAATTTTTCTTTAGAAACTGTTTCTATTTAAGGTAAAGTCGATTGTCATTGTAATTTTATAATATCCTACCAACTGCTACTCGGTTCGGTTGCCCAGAGGTAGCCTCTTCAGCCACCTTTTCCCGTCTTAGTGAAATTCGATTTTTTAATTAGTTGTTTACTTGAGAAAAAGGTTAAAAAATGCTCTCCTCAGTGACGTGTTTCGTTGTGTAAGGAACGTTTTCTTTGAGAAAAATTTTTGCACAACAATGTAGTAAGCAGGGCATGTGCGCCCAGTGGCGGGCAGAAGAAGATGTGTCTTACAACAGTGTTATGCTTGGTTGAGTGCATTTTGACACTATTTTTGAGTCTGCATAGTTGCTGTAAAATATATCGTAGCGGGTTTTTTTTTCCTTTTTTACTGAAAAGTGCATCAAAGTCTCCAACCATCTGAATGAGAAAAAATATATTTAATTTATTGAAAACAGTTTTTCAGGCAAAATTTTGTTTTTATTTTCAAAACCACTTTCAGCACACATATATATGGTATGCTTTTTAAAACAAAATTAATTTTTTTTGTTTTTTTAATCTCATGGTTATAACAAAATTTATATTACCACGAAAAAAAAAATTTCTAAAACAGTAGAAATTTTTAAGAGCCTCTCTCTCTCTCTCTTTCTCAAATAATTTTGACTTGATATAATTTTTTTTTTGATCAAATTTTTATTTTAATGTTACTAAAAACAAATCTCTAAAATATGAAATGATATCACATTAAAATATATTATGAAAGTATATATTATAAAAAATAAAAATTAGTTGTTCTTTATAATTTGGCACGAAAGAAAATAATAGATAATAACAACAAAAGAAAAAAAATGCATTGAGAAATATTTAACAAAAAAAAAAAAAAAAGCCATAGGAAAAAAGAATAATACGAATACAAAATTTGTATATTATTTTTTTTTGTTTTTGTTTGTTTGTTTGTGTGTTACATTTAACAATTCCAGCTGAATGATTTTGAAATTCGGAAAGGCAAAAAGATTGGTGTAACGATATCATTTAACAATCACCGGCTTTTTGTCGGCAATATACCTAAGAATAGAGATCACGACGAATTATTAGAGGAATTTTCTAAACATGCACGTAAGTGGTGAAAATCAAAAAAAAAAAAAAGAAAATAAATAAATAAATAAAAAAAATTAACAAATAAAAAAAAGAAAATATATTTCAAAATCATAAGAAAATTCCCCCATTCTTCACTCCTTATTATAGATAAAATTGGTCAATATGAATTGGTTTGCATTAATTATAAAAAAGAAAAAAAAAAAAATCTTTAAAAGAGGTAAAAAATTGGATTTTTGTTTATTAATTCCCCTGCGCGTGGGAAAAGTAAAATAAAAAAATAAAAAATTGAAAATTCTAACTGCAAAAATTCATCTACAGGTGAAAATTATATTGTTTTATAATAGTTAAGTTCAAAAAACAACACTCACTTACTCTCTCTTCTCTTCTTCCTGCTTTAAAAAATTGATAAAGAAAAAATAAACTCTTTTTTCCAAAACCCAAAAAAAAAAAAAAACATTTGCAGATGAAATTTTGTAATTGGAATTTTTTTTTTTTTAATACACAAAAAAATTTTAAATTTTAAAAAGCGCTACTCCTGCTAATATTTTTAAATTATTAAAACAAAAAATGCAACAAAAATTGATTAATAAAGAAAACTGTAGCTTAACAATTAACAAAAGGTTAATTAAAAAACAAAAAGAAAAAAAAAATGAAAACAATGCCAAAATTCGCTCTTTTCTCTATCTAGGTTTACTTTTTTCTAAAAAACAACTATTTTTTTAATTTAATATAATTGTCTAGCTACAGACGATGCTGTGCATAATTATTTTATACGATTTATTTTTTCGCTTTTTTTTTTATAATTTTCAAAATATAATCTTCACCTGATAAAAAAGAAAAAAAAACCTAGAAAAATTTCAACAAAATTTGCTATATTTGTTTTTTTTTTCAATTCATTTTCTTTGGTTAACACTAAACACCAACGCCAACAACAACAATACCATATAGGTAATGACTGGAGACTGTAAAAATTTTAATAAAATGAACTCGTCGAAAGATTGTTTTGCGTCCTATTCTATGGTTTCCATCTATCCTTCTATTTATAATGAATAAAGCGAAAGGAACGAATTTATTACGCGTAAAATGATACCACAAATAATAAAAAATTTTGATAAGCATATTAGGTGTGGCTGTGCTAATGAAGATGTTTTCTTCTTTTATTTTTTACTTGTGCTTCGAAATTATGGCTCAGTATGAAAGAATATATTAATATATATTCAGTATATATTATTATTAGAGGTGATCAAAATGATTTTGAAAGTTAGGCGGATCAAATCGAGGCTAAATTTAAATGGGACATCGCGAAAGAAAATGCTTGGAACGACTCGTTTATATCTTGTTACTGCATAAAAAAAACCAAGACCATCGCGCAATATTATTTCTGTAGCTTAGTACTGTAGTTTAATTGGCGGGATCCGAAAAAAAAGTCGCGTGTGTGGTTCTGTTAACAAATCGAACAGCTTTAAATAAAATTCTTCTTTGAAATTTGATTTACTGATACGAAGCCATTAAGGCCTACTACAATAGATTTCTACCGTGGGTGCAATAATGCAAAATGTTCTTAAACAATCTAAAGGAAACTAAAAGAAAATTGAAGGTAAAGATTTATTTGAAGCGGCATTTTCGACATCTAAACCGATATTTCGATCGCTCCGCAAAGCTTTGCCCTTCTATTCCACTTATCATCTATAAGGTGGGTGATGATGTGAAAACTCAAGAAAAAATTTGCAATTTTGTAACACTTCTTAATGGGAAATCTATATTGCATTCGGACGTTAGATTTTGATATTAAATATATATGTAAAAAAAAAAAGTTTTAAAAAATAATTTGTGATTGTTTTAAAAATCGCAGTAGAACAAATAGACTGAATTATGATTTATTTCGGGAAAATCACTGTTTGATCAAAGTCAAATATATCGTTTTAGGTAAATTAGTTCGCAAATAAGATTTTTACGAGCCATTTTCTTACATTATATTGTGTAAGCCTAAGAGCGTTAAAATTGAAGGAAACTATTGCTTAAATAAAACTAGCGGAATCGGACTGAAGGGTATAATTAAAAATAAACCTTTGGAGGACTACCATATCCTAGATGTTCGTAACTGATATTTTCGACCCGGTCTACCTCGATTCAGTAGTACATATACATTTTCTAAGCAAAGAAAAGGATGAAAATTTTAAAATTTGAAAGAAAAAACTTTGATTTAACGACGTTCCACGTTAGAAAATCGTCATTACTAACAGCCACATCTATATGTACATTATATGTTTTTTATACATTTTTAAACAAATGTTTTTTTAATTATATCTCTAAATGTTTTTAAAGAGTTTTTTTAAGCATTCTATTCAAAAAAAAAAAAAAAAAAAAAACCAAAAGAAAAGCTGAAAATTACCGTGTTTTCTTTAAATATAACTTTCTACACTATACATATATATATAATATATATATATACATATGTATATATATTTGTCTTTAACTAAATGTCTTTTTTAGTTTTGTGTAATTTTTTTACAATATTTTTTTCATTATATTTTTCTCCTTTTTGGTGTTTTTTTTTATGTTGTGTCAATAAATAACAAATCAAATTAAACTAAAAAAAAAAAAAAAAAAACAAAACAAAATCTTGTAAAAAGCAAAAAGTCCCAAAATGTTAATTTTCCCTTTTCGTTGTTTTAAGCAATTATGTAAATTTTAAGTTGCTTTTATACCAAAACCAAAAATTAAAAAAAAAAATTTAAATAAATTCTAAAGATGGATAACAAGTGATTTGGCATTAGTTTTTGTTGTACATTTCTAAAAGGAATTCCATTTCCAATTTGCAGAATAATTTATATGATTTTACATAACAAACAATACAAAAGATTACAAATTAATACAAAATGTAAAATGTATTCATTATACTACTCTGCTTTTTTATATATTAAATGATAAAGAAAAAATATTCTCGAAAATTTTTGTTGTATTTTTTTTTTTACTTCTTTTCTCTTGAAATTTACTTGATTTTTTTTTATATATAAATAAATAAAAACGATTTTGATTAATTTTATTAATTTTTCTTCGTTTTCCCTAACCTACATCAATATTTGTAGCTGGCCTTATTGAAGTGATAATCTATAGTTCGCCGGACGATAAAAAAAAGAACCGTGGTTTTTGTTTTCTCGAATACGAATCACATAAAGCAGCTTCATTAGCAAAACGTAGACTTGGCACCGGCAGGACTAAAGTAAGTGTTTTACTTGTTTTTTTTTTTTTTTTTTTTGCTCTTTTGCGAATAAATAATGAAATTATTTTGAAAATTAAATAGGTCTGGGGATGTGATATAATTGTCGATTGGGCTGATCCACAAGAAGAGCCAGATGAACAAACGATGTCTAAGGTTAAAGTACTGTATGTTCGAAATTTAACACAGGATGTTACAGAGGAAAAATTGAAGGTATTTAAAAAATAATGCGCCTTAAATGTTATATAATCCATTATTTAATTTGGAAATTTTTTTAGGAAAAAAACGTAGTTTTCATGGGCGCGGCCAATTTTTTTATATTTTCAGAATGAAAGTGTAAATATTTATATGGGGTATGCTACTTGTGTGGTACACTGCCACTCTACGAGTAGCAGGCGAAGAACGTTGAATGTAAAACTCTTTACAATTTTTATTGCATAGGAGAGTGGGCATTGTAGGCATGTCCTTTGACTAGTTTAGGTCATCTTCAAATTGCTCTGCAAATTTTTAGGCCATATTTTCATTTTTGGGAACGAAAGAATGTTTACCACAGACGCTACAGGCAGCAGACGCTACAGGTGGGCAGACGCAAGCATACACATAATTAAGTGTATTTCGAATTTGAAACGAGCGAGTTATAAAAATAAAATTTTCTAGGCGATTGTTTCATTTTTGGCTAATGGAAGAATGTCTACCACAGAGACTACACAGTTGCACAGGCGGGTAGATGAATAGAAGGCAGATGAATAGAAGGACGTGTTTAGGTGCATTCCATATTTGAAACTGGTCAAGAATTTGTATAGTTTCTGAAGCTTGTTACGGCGCGTTATATAGCTATTGAAAAAAGTATTAAATTTTGATATATTGATATATTGGGTAGGCGTAGTTAATTTTTTCCAATTTTGTACAGGGTAATATAGCATCGACTAATATGATACACGTTCAAATCTTTGTATACTTACTTTTTTACGGAAGCCTTTTGTTTATGAAAATGTTTGTTACTCGCGATATTTTTATTTGATTATATTTGAAGAATACAATACTTGTCATCTTCGGGAACGTAGGTCAGGAAATCCAATCGCTTTGACCACTTTTTTTCCTCTTTATTGTTTCTTTTCTCTCCGCCCAAGGTCTAAATATAAAAGTAAAACATATATTAAGTATCAAAACCATTATGTAACGCTATTTAACTGAAAAAGTCTGCGGAACTAATCGGCGTTTATTATAGACATGCATGCTGTAATCCCTTGCGGGAGAATTCGAGAAAAGAATCTCAAAAGAATTTTTTTTCTTTTTTATTTGCAGGAGCAATTTGAGCAATATGGCAAAGTTGAACGTGTTAAAAAAATAAAAGACTACGCATTTGTACATTTTGAAGATCGTGATAGTGCTGTTGTTGCAATGAAAGCCTTAAATGGCAAAGAAGTTGGTTCTGCTAATATTGAGGTAAATTATAAATAAAATATGGTTATGATATATCTGTATCCACGATATCACCATCATTAACTCGTAGAAATGATAACGAACACTCTTCTTTTTTTTTATAGATGAAGAGATGTGGTGGTGATAAGTCAGTCTTTAGCATTAGGTGGGGAGGGGCAGGAATTGTCTAGTTGATTAGCTTTTGCAGACTCTCGACACAAAATGGATCGATTATGCGTATGCGTATAGGATATTTGAGCAAATGTTCTATAAAAGTCCTTATTACACTCATATTCAGGAGTGCCGCGATTCACTTTTTAACTTCAATTAAGTGCAACAGTCGCTTAGAAAAAGATTGCGCCATCCACAGGCCAATTTAAAAGCTATGGACAAAGTTGTATGAAATCTTCCCTTTTCCATAGTGAAGACCTTCAAGAAAGTTGTGCGTGCGGAGTGGCGAATCTAAATTTGGTTCGTGCAAGGTATCTTTTAATAATTGTGAGGTCACACCGCTTGAATATACATTTTGCAATGTACAATAATAATAACAACTGATGTCTTGCGGTAGATGTTGTTTTTGCGACCAACTTCAAAACACACAGTATATATTCAATAATGCACATTATGGCGAGCAGTTTTTTTCGTGTAATAAATAATAACCATTTAGATCGCTATCTTTAAGATCAGTGTTTTTTATAACAATGATATGACGACTGACGGACTAGAAGACCACTGCTAATCCTTCCTAACTTTTTCGAATATTTACATCAAGGCATATTGCACTTTCTGATTGCCTCAGGCGAGTTGTTGCAATCGTGTACATCATGAAATATGCACCTCTCGTTCATCCTTCATTAATGCGCCGGGCAACTGAAATTGAATTTTGATTTACTTAATACAAAAAAATTGTTTTTGTTTTCAGGTTTCACTGGCAAAACCGCCTTCAGATAAAAAGAAAAAAGAAGAAATTCTACGTGCACGTGAGCGCCGTATGATGCAGATGATGCAAGGAAGGCCCGGCATAGTTGGGTAAGCTGTTCTTTATCATTTCTTTATTTAAATAGACGGCAATCTAAAGAAAAAAAAAAAAACATTTTTCAAAATTCAAAAAGAACAAAATGAAAAAATACTTTCATCTCAATTGGCGGCAAAGCAAAAATTTTTAAGAAAATTTCTTTCCCTTATTGGAGAAAAAGGGGTGCGTGCATATCGATTGGCGTTTTTTGTGATAATTGGTTTCATTCGAAATTAAGCGCGGTTACATTCGGTTTATATTTGATTGGGGATTTAGCACTAACTTGTTTTCTTCTTTTTTTTTTTTTTAATTTTACTACTGCGTATATATATATATATATGTAATAATTTAATTAATTTGTTTTTCTTCTACTTTTTTTTTATATTTTCATGTGTTCACTTATTTTTGTTTCTCTTTCTCTCTTACCTACTGTGCAACTGTATCTGTATTTTGCTTACATACACGATCTGTAACAATAATTTATTATTTATATTTTATTATTATTGTTACTATAATAACCGGTACGGTACTTTTTGGGTGATATTAAAAAAAACAAAAAAAAAAAAAAAAAAACTGCTGCCCACGACATTGCATTATCGTTGTATTATAAAATAACTACAACAACAACAACAAACGATTTCAACAATATTATAATATCGTATAACCATAACATCATCATACCAACAACAACCAACTGTTCTTCTTCAATCTTCTATTACTATTAAAAAAAAAAAAAAAAAAAAATTTAACTTACATTCAAAAGTTTTGAAACGTTGTCTCCATACAGAAATTTATCGCCAACACATCCAGGGATGATACCTTTGGGTGCGCCTATGCGCATACCAAGTGGCCCAAGAATTCCACTACGTACACCAATGCCACGGGATTACGGTAAGTGATATTTTTTTATATTAATTTACGTTTTTTTAGAGATTTTTTTCTTTTTTTATTATTATTATTTCATTATTATTTGAAAATATTGTGTGACTTTTTAGTAAGTCGCGTCATATAAGATACATATTTTTAATTTTATTAATTAAAATATTTAGTTTTTGCAGTTGAGAATAATATATGTTTACTTTAAAGAAAAAGAAAAGAAAATTAATACCAAAAAAAATTTTTTTTTGGTAAGAATATTAACCAATTTCCGTATAAACTGGAGTTATGTTGTGCGCATTATTGTCATTTTTGATTAGGGAGAGTCCTTTAAAAAAAAAAAAAAAGAAACAAAAAATAAAAAATAATTAGGTTTGATTTTAAAAACAAATATTTTTTTACTTGATGTTAATATCAAACCAAATTATTTTTTATTTTTTGTTTTTAAATTATCGTAAAAGTGATATATATACTTTTACTCTACTAACTTATTTTAACAATTTGTGACTTAACAAAAGAAAAAGCTTTCTATGGCATTTGTTGTGTTTGATTTTATTTTCCTCGGTTCTATGAAAATAACTGAGCTTTTTTTTATGGTTTAATTTTCATTATAATTTTTATCATCCTTTTGTGCCTTTTTCTACTTCGCTATTTAATAAAAATACTCTCTTCTCTCATGATCCTTACATATATCTATATATATATATCTATATAGATATATACTAAACTCTTACACCCCCCGTCCCCCACTCATCATCATCATCTCGTTGTATTACTGCGTGCGTGTCTGCATATAATTGTCTGTGCACAAATTTGTAAATTATTATCTTACATTTATTTATTTTTTTTATTTTTTTTCAAATTCTTCATTAATTTTGCATGCATCAATAATAATTAACTTACTCTTTCTCCTATATATAAAAATTATTCAAATGAAAATTAAAAATTTTCTCTTAAATCAAGCAAGAAAGAAACGAATTTTTCTTCTTTTTTTTTTTTTGTTTTTATTCCATTTATTCAAATTATAATATAATCTGTGTTGTTGTGTGTTTGTGTTTATAAAATGAAATTCCTTAAAAAAAAAAAAAAGAAATCAAAATCAGTCGTGTGTGTTGTATACTGCAGAAAGCATTGTTGCAATTACTACCACCACTACCACCACTACTACATATAAATGTAGAGCATTTTCTCTTTCTTTTTTTTTTTAAATCATAAAGCTGCGCCTCCTTTACTGCTAATACTACCACATATATAATTTTTTATATAATCAACCATTTTTCTCTCTCCTAACATTTACTACTACAATTACAAATATTTTTATTAAATATTTATAAATATTTTTTAAATATATTGTTAGAAAAAGAAAAGAAAAAAAAAAACAGCTCCTTTGCTACTTAATACACTACTACAATATCTCTTTGATATGTATATGTATATGTTTTATTAAATGTTGCAATTGTGTTGTTGTTCGTTCTCTATATGTAGCAAATGTTAAACATCCTGTTTACTTATTGATGTTTTACCGGTAAGTAATGTTGTTTTTTTTTTTTGCACACACACACACACACACACACCGTACGCATGTACACAAGCATACGCCCGCACACGACTACATATATACATGGTTGGAAGGTCAAGCCAATCCCTTAAAAATGAACCTGAAAATTGTGAAAACGTTGCCCTTCACTACTCACTCTCACACAAACTTTCCTTAAACATCAAAAGTTTAACACGGAAAAAAATAAATGGAATAAAAACTAATATTGAAAATATTGATTCGCGTCGTGTTCAAATTCATCATATAATATATATATATATATATATATATATATATAAATACCACACATTCAATTCAGGAAGAGAAAAAGGCCAAAGCATTGTTAAAGCGTATTGTGCATTAAAAAATAGGCTACTCTTTCCCTTTCTTTTTACCCTGTGTACTTATTCTTCTTCTTCTTATATATTAAAATTAAGTAAATTTTTCCAAAAATATCTCTCGGCCCTTGTTATCAGTAGTAGTACACCGAGCAAAAATTAATTTTGTTTTGTTTTAAATTTTACTTTCTTAGTAATTATGTAGTTTAAAAATAAAAAATAAATATAATTTATCAACATTGCTATAAAAAAAAGTAACAAAAATGTAACGAACTGCGTATATATTAAGTGTTTCTCCCATTGTTTGCTGCTTTTTTTTTCATTTTGCATAGTGTATTTTGCAAATGAATCTCTCCGCTTAATGTTTTCGAAAATTCCGAGATTTTTTGACTCATTTAATCCGTAAAAGGATATCCAAAGTTGTGGCGCGATCCAGCAATATAGTATGCTCGAGTTTTATGGGTCAAATTATCAATTAATGCCGTAGTAGTTATCTGAGATATTATATTTTTTAATTAAAAGAAAAGTCCAATTTTACATCTGAACGGGGCATATATATTCGATCAGCATTATATTCGATTAGCATACTCTACAGGTCTTTTATTTGAAAATCTGTGGAAATATAACACGCTGATCTAAAATGTTATATACAAACACATTCCACATGCACATCCCAATATTAGCTTCGTTATCCGAAATCATATCGTCCCAGTCATCCTAATGTTTTTGGACTATCTGCAATAAACAGATCTACCCCACTCCTCTTAAAGCTCTGCTTCTATGTTGGATCCTTACAAAATCAGTCTTATAAATGGAGTAGTGATCACTCATGGGATAACTTATCAAATTTCGAATACATCACGACCCAGTTTTCCCAGCTGATTGCAACAACAAGTGATTAGATTATTATGTGACCGATTTTTTAGTTACAGAAATTTCGTTTAGAAGAAATTTGATCTCATTAACCTGCCCACACCGTTCATGGCCTCCCTTACGCACTGAATTATTTTCATAACTGTCACACACTTACCCAGGACATTGTAACGTTTTTCCGTATGTTACTGTCTTATCTCCTTCTTCAAGTGAAGCGAGAATAAAAAGAACTCAGGTTAGCTACTTCATAGGAATTGGGCAAATCAAATTTTTTAATAATCAATTCGATGTAACTAAGCACGAATGGTTCTGCCTATTTGTTTTTTTTTTTTTTTTTGATTCTAAAGGTGTGGCAGACCCTAATTTTATAATGTCGATATCCTATAATAGTGGAAGATTCGTGATCAGTTCGGTCTGCCTTGGTCACGAAGTTGTGATATTTAGCTATTGCACCATCGGTTGAGTTGACCTTCGCGGTTATTTACTAATGTAAGTTCATAGTGTAGGATCAATGCCGTAAAATATAAACGAGCGATACACATCGCAAAAACCGCAGATGTATTAAGACCGCAATGCATTGTGTTCGTCTGACGTCTACAGATGCAACAAAAATGAGATCGACAAGTTGAAGCTTGATTGATGTATTCTCAGTAGTTGGGTACCATTTAAATGAGATGGAAGCAAAATATGATGCCAACCGAAAGCACGTTCTTTCCTCCGCTACTCTAAGAAATTTGCTTAATCGACCTCGGATAAAATACTTTCTATGTTGAAGGAATTTGTTTAATCTGTTTAGAAAATTATTAACTTTTACTTAATTAAAAACTTGGGTTTTGTATGAAAAGCCTGTGTTCTCACTCTTTTTATTTTTCTGACACGCGAATAACCAGCTCAAGGCAACAAATATCTTTCTACTATTAAGGATAGTGTTGTCGAATGAGGAATTCATGTAAAGGTAATTCTTATAACTAGAGTGATCGTGCAGGTGGGCGAGTATTAAAGAAGTGCTCAGCCGACGCATGATAAGGAGTCGCAATGCGCGCAGCCTAAGCCGGCTACTTAAGTCTTTAAAATAACTGTGTCTCAACTGCTGAACTTTGATTGATTTTATTATAGGCTAGAGGGGAAGCTTGGTTACATTATTTCCGAGGTCTCGTATACTTCAAAAAAATTTCTCTTAGCGAAATTTTTCCCCCAATCTGAGATTTAAAAGAAGGAGGAGGCATTGTGTTGTGTATCTATCTATTTATCTAAGCATTTAAAGTTAATTTCTCTCGTTACATTTTTATTACTTTATTTCTAGATTTTTAAAATGAATTTTTAACTAAATTTTTGGTTTTAATTTTTTTTTGTTTTTTATGTTTTGTTTTTTGCTTTGTTCTTCTCCCATTTAAAATTTCCAAATGCGGTTCGATTGATTGAAAATGAAAACGAACAAATAAAAAAATCCAATTGCAAAACGAAAACAAAAACAAAAAACGAATTCTTTGTTTAGATTTTGATTATGACTTTTATGGTTATTCGGAATATCGCGGTGGCTACAATGATACGTATTATGATGATTTTTATCGCACCTATGATGGAGAATGTTTCTTTGATTATCCTCCCCCCAGCGGTGTAGCACCAATACCCACTGGTGGACCCGCCGCTGGTGGCATGCAGAGAACAGCACGTAACAATGTGGTGGGTTTTGTTTTTACATTTTAATCTTTAATTATTTTTTTTTCTTCTTTTTAATATAATTTTTTTCAAAAACTTCAATTACTTTTTTATTACATCTGTTTTTTTTTTTTTAATCGTTTTGTTTCTACAATTTTTTAAAATATAATACAAATTTTTTTTCAATTTTTTAATTTTTTTCTGAAAAAACGTTACTCCAAAAATAAAAACAAAACAAGACTATATGGATATTATTAAAACTCCTTCTTCTGCAATCACTTTACATACAACAAAAATCATGACAGCAACACCAACAGCAACTACTTCAGCAAATCTTCTTATTCAGCGTTATTTTTAAAAGGAAAAAAAAATGCAAAAAAGAAAAATTTTATTAAAATTGTTCACGACCTTAGTGTTCGTATTTAGCAAAAATATTTTAATTTGGACTAAATTTCAAAATTTACAATTTTTTATAAATTTTTTTTTTTTTTTTGTTTAGTACCATTTTCTTGCGCTTTTGTTTAAGGAAAAGAAAGAAAAAATTGTGAATTAAAAAAAAAATTGACAAAGCACCATTTTTTCCGATTATTAATCATGTAATTAAAATCCTAAAAAAAAAAAAAAAAAAACACCAATAACCACAACCAATAATCAAGAACAGCCAATCTCTTTTCTTAATCACTGTTTACCCCACTTATTAACAGAATTATCTTATCATCAACATCAATAGTTTCATATTGACTTTTTACTTTTATATACTTTACTAACTGATTTTATTATATTCATTTCCTTCCTTTTTTGTGCCTTATTTTTTCTTTGGGTTTTGCTTTGTTATTTTTTTTTTTAATACTTTAAGCTTTTAAATGATTTAATATTAATACGCACTTTTTTATTTTTACGCTTTAATACCGCTGTAAGCCGCTTATTATTTATTATTATTGTTATAATAATATTCAATGTAAATTACGCTTATTTTATTATTTAAAATTAAAAGCTATGAACGTTTATTGATACAAAAGGTTAACAATCGGTCTTCTAATCCTTCTATATAAAATATTATAATAAGACTTACCTTAAACCGACTTCTTCCTCCTCTTCCATCATCTTAATGAAAGGCCGTTCCTTAACCCCAAGTAAAGAAAGGTCCAAAAGCTTCCAATGAAACCTAAGGCACTTATTATGTAGGTTTCAAAACTTCCCAACATTTTAACGGCATTTTTAAATCGCTTCACAATTTTGGCGAAGAAAACGCTTATCGCTACACCATAACTGTTTCGTAGCTCTAAATATCTTCGAAATTCTTATTTGAAATGAAAGAATTTGGAATATATTCAGACACCTACTAAATGATATACAGTAGTAACAATTTATGTCCTTTAAAAGAAGCTCAAAAGCAATGAACTACACGAGAGAGTAAATCTTCGTTAGCTAAAATCGTCGTAAAGTTAAGTCGCTTCTAAAGTTAAGATGCTCCATTTTATATTTCTGCTGGCTGGCTTAGACTGAAGCCTAAGGTTCGGCTCCTTGCTTTAGAGAACAAGGCAACTTCCTATTGCTTGGGAAATAGTATATTTCCTGTGGAGCACGATTACTAACTACCCTTAAGTGAGGGCATTTTTATTTATTAATGTTTGATTTACTCTCTGAACCCCAAGCGTTAATCATCGTGAATAATCCAGTATAATATTAATAAGCGTTTATAGCGTTTTTTATGCTTAAAACGCTTTATTTTGTAAGCTTTTATTTACTGGCGAGTTTTAGTGCTTTTTTGTGTTGAGTAATTGCTTCAAATATATTAAAAATTAAACTTATTATTTTTTAAAAATAACAAAAAATTAATGGCAAGCTACGCATTTTATTTATGTATAAAAAAAAAAAATATAATAAATAAAAACGTTAAAAAGTTTAGAGAAAGATTGTTTTAGAATTTAAGTGTTTTTAAAGAGGATTTTTTTCTCAGCTTTGTTATTTTTATTAAATTTAAATTTTTTTCCCTTTGTGTAAATATGCAGCATATTAATTTTTTTTTTTTTAGTTACATTTTTTTTTTTAAACAAAAATAATTTATTCTCATATTTTTTTTAGTGTTTTTTTTTTTTTTAATTAAAAAGAAACACATACTCTCTAATACCATACCACAAGGAGATAAATATCTAACGCGTTTATTTCGATTTTTTCTTTTTTCTTTTTTTTCTTTTATATTTTTTATGTTATATGTGAAACAAACTCTATCTCTTGCTAACTTTTTCACTGTCTCTCAAACAAAAAAAAATAAAATAATAATAATATATATATACATATATAAAAAAAACTCTTAATAATAACAACAACAATAAAATCATGACAAAAATTTAAACAATCTTAAAAAAATTATATATATGTTCGTCAAAAAAAAAAATGATAATGTGAATCAAACCTTGACCACCCAATTTGATTATCTAAACATTCCAAATTTGTGTTGGCTTCCGATGCATAAAAATATCACTGCCAAAAATACAAAAAAAAAAAACAACAAAATTATGATTGAAATCCTCTTACATGTTTCTCTTAATCCCGTATACATGAAAAAATATTAATCAATAACCGAAAAACGAAACCTAAAATTATCCCACAAAATTATGTTAATTTTTATCACTATGCAAAAAAAAAAAAACTTGGCGATCCATATATATATATATATATATACATATATATATATATCTACATATATATATATAAAACATACATATATATACTTTTAAATAACCTTGAAAAAAAAAAAAACAATCGATGGATGTAACGAATGAATATATGAATTCAATGACCGCCCGCGCGTTAAATATAATGATGATCACGATGACGACCATAATAATAATGATGGTGTGGACGACTTGGCTTGGTTTTTGATGAAAATGATGATGATAACGACGATGATTGCAGGGGGTTGGCCGTGGGCGTGGAATCACGGCGCGTGGCCGAACCGTTGGGCTCCGTGGCAACATCAGTCGTCAGGGGGCCCCTCAAGCGGCGGTGGTGGCGGCGGCGGTGGCGGCTCAACGGGGGGCCACCGCTCAGGGGGCTCCGCCAGCAACCGGGGGGGTCCGTGGGGTGGGACAAATTCGTCCCAGCGCTCGTGGCACTCAGCACGCCCAACCGCTACAAAATTTACCAGGTGAGAAAATCTAAAACCACAACAATAACAAAAAATTAAAAAAAAAAGCAAAAAAAACCTCCCGTTCTTCTGTGTTTTCTTATCTCGCTCACTCTCTTTCTCTCTGTCTCTCTCTCTCTCTCTCTCTGTTTCTCTTTTTTTCTCAACAATGAATTAAAATTAAACCAAACCGATCTATTTTCTCCCCCTTTGTCGATTAAAATCATATATAAAAAAAGAAAGTTAAAAATTAATGAAAATCAATTTTTGTTTGAGTTTCTAAACAATGAAAGTAAAAAAACACAAACACCTTTAACCTTTGGATCTTTATTTGGAAAATTCTTACTACTATTACTATTTTCCATCACTTATTATCTCTCTTTATAACCTTCTCTCTCTCTCTCTCTCTCTGTCTCTCTCTCTCTCTCTCTCTCTCTCTATCCCTTTCTCTCTCTGTGTCTCTCTCTGCCTCTTTCTCTTTCTCGCTCCCTCGTTGTCTTATCTCTATCTACCTCGTTTTACTTACCATTACACCTTATATATTACATAATCAATACAGCAACAACAACAGCAACAATTACAATTCTTTTTTCTTATCATTATTTATTTTTAATTCTTCTATATATATATATATATATATATATATATACATACATATATATATGTATATAAAATTCTTTCTTCTTAAAATTTTTATATATATATATTATATTAATTATATATATTATATATATATATATATATATATATAATTAATATTTTAAACAAACAAAACTAAGAAAATTTAGTGTTGGTTTTTTTATAATACTTAGAAACATTGTTATGATCGTTTTTTTTTCTTTTAATAATTTTCTACTATTCTCCTTCAATAATATATAAAATTAGTTTTAAAAGTAGCTTTTAATATGTAATTTTAAAAGAGAAACAATTGTTAATTTGTGTTTATTTCACCGACCATTTATCTTTCATTCTCCTCTCTGTTACTTATATACATTAAAAATTGTAATTTATCCCTAACTAATTGACCCACCCACCCCAGAAAGGTGATAAGTAAGATGGAAAGAAGGAAGCTGTCTGGGGAAGTGGGGAGAGGCATGGAGACGAGCTAGCAACCATCCCTTTATTGAGTTCCAGTCAACTTTTCTGTCCCAAGTGTCGTGAGTGTTTTCTCAAATATACCTCAGCAGTTCAGAAGCTGAGACAAACTAATTCGATTACACGAAAAACGTAGTCATACCCAAAACTTTAGCCGTGTTTTCCCTTGCAATTTCCTTGGTAATATCTTGCGAGTCATACTGTCAGCATACGAAAATCAAAATACTGTCATGACACAGTCCGCTCGTCTATGTGATGTTAGGTTTTTTAAGACAAAAACGAAGATATGGACGACAAGATATCCATTTATATTCCAAGCCCTCTATACACGAGTTGTATATGAGTCCTATCAATTCAGTTTGAATGAACCTAATTTACAAAAGTTGAAATAAAAGACGAAAGAATAAAGTTGGAGTGATAATGAACCTAATGACCTCTTCTGAAAGCCGACATACATTGTCGGAGACTCACCGATTGCATCTAAGAGAATGTATAGTTAAAGTATTCCAAATATTCCAAACCAGCTTTGCCGTGGAAATTAATCCGTCCGGCTGAAACCTAGCTGCTGTACATCCACACGTGCCCATCGATGATATTTCAGGACTAAAGTTTGAAAAATTCTACTTTCACACAGTAATAAACCCCGTTGACCCCGATGTCTGTCCATCCATTCTTAACGATATAACATTACTTTAGGTGGTGTGGGTAAACAGTAAAATATATAGCTTTTTTCCATCATTTCTTTCTTTTCAACATGTCATTCCTTAAAAAGTAAGAAGCGTCACGTACTCTGTATTCAATTTATAATTAATAGTTAGTTAGTTAAAATAGAGATATTAAATCTTTTTAGAAATTCTTAAATATCTAGAAGTAATTTTAGTTCGTATCGATTTTATTATAAACGCGCCTTCTCCTTCCTTCTCCTCCTTCTTATTAATGTTTTAGCTACTAAATAACGATATTAGCAGCAGTGATATACATATATATCATTTCAATATTCAATTAGATCACAAAAAGACTTCATTGTAATTTTCTCTATAATTTGTTTGATTTTTTTTTATTTTAATTTACTCTGCGTTTTCCTTTTAAATTGTATAATCATATTACTCTTAACTTATAATAATTATATTATTATCATTATTACTCAACTTAAAGGTCCTCATTATTATCTATCATATATAATATAAATGTTGTTTTTTTTTTTGTGAAAAGGAAAACTAGATTCAGAATTTTAATGCATTTTTTTTTATCGTTTGTAATTTTGTTTAAAATTAGTTAAAAAGGAATACATATATATAGATATATATATATATATGTATATATATACATACACATATATATATATGTACATATATATAAATACATATATAAATATGTATATAAATAAAATATGTTTGTTTTGCAAATGAGAATAAAAATAATAATAATAATAATAATAAATCATGTTTTTGTTTTGTTTGTTTAAAACTTTATTTTATGAAACAAGGATTTCTCCTTAATAACGCAGAAAAATCCTTTGTTTATTTTTTCTTTTTTTTTTTTGATATATTATACTTAAAACACTTTCTTTTGTATATGCATGTCTCTTCTTTTTTTCTAACTCTTCAATGTTATAATAAATTCTTTGTTGTGTTTCTCTCTCTCCTCTTTCTATTTTAAATGTTGTGCCTTTTCAAACAATAAAAGTGTTTGTGTATAATATCTCGTTATTATATACAAATTTGGATTTAGAAGGTATAATAGTATAAAATACATGTATATATATATATACAAAGGACAAGAAAAAACTTTTTTTTGAATCGCACTAACAACTGTGCGATTATCCTTCGCAAGGCGTAGTTGATACCTAATAATGAGCCTTTTTTTTAATACGCGAGACAATCGCTTTATTTGAAAGTACTGTCGCTAGCTAAATATATCTTTCATCGATACCATTCAAGCCTTCTTGCGCCACTGAATGTCATCGCCAATGTCATCGATCGGAACACAAATGTATTATAGGGCCTAGAAGGTGCAAGGTTAACAGACTAATGAACACCACAGTTATGGTTTCTTTTCACGCTTTTATTTTTTCTTTTCTGTTGGTTTGGTGGAACATTATCAATACAAAATAGCAATACAACAATAAAACACTACCAACGTTAATGTGGAACTCTATTAGTAGAGAACTCCATCAATAAAGTGAATCATTAATAAGGAACATCCTCGATGCAAAACATCATGAATACGGAACATCGCTAATGCAGAAGGCGACTCCTTTACAGAATAGCCCTAATAAAGAAAACTTTCAAGAAAACACAATGAACAGAGGAGACCATGAACAAAGAACTCTAGTAGTAGGTAACAGTAGCAAGAAAGTCCCTGCCGCCGCTATAGAAAACTATGAGTGCAGAAAATGATCAAAGAATGTAAATTGTAGAATACTGTCAGTACAGAGGACACTAGAAGACTGTCAATAAAGTAGACTACCAATCCACAGTATAACACGATGCAGAACACTATGAACCCGGAAAGCTATCAATAGAAACCGTACCGAGAGGAACACTATAAATACAAAAGACTATCAATCCATCGTAGGAAACTATGAATACGGAGTACTATAAATGCAGAACACAATTCAGCATACAATCAATACAGGAAGCAATCTATACAGAAGACAATCAATGAAGACTAACAATGCGAAAGACTATCGCAATACCTAGGAGGCTATCAATTCGCGTATAGGGCAGTGCATGGCACTATGAATACCGAAAGCTGGCAATAGAAACACTACAAATAGAAAAGCTATAACTGTAGGATACTATGGATACAGAAGGCCCATCAATGATGAACTCATCGACCGTCACCAAATCCAGAATATTGGATTTCGATATGCAGTCCAAATGCTTTTATTGTTGTCTGCTTTTGCCAAACTTTCGGTAGAATCGTATTCGCGTCTCGCTTCCAGAAGCCTGTCCGTAATTTATGTTCAGTTACACATCACTATGCTTTATTTGTGGCAGTAATGCGATATTTCAAAAAAAAAGGCACATTATGAGGTCAACTGCATGCGGGTTATCTTATTATGATGGTAGGAGATTGCAATCTCTTCGGGATTTAAGAAAAATTTGTGCTATTATACCTTTTAACTATAAACATATATGTCATCTGTTTGTGTTGTGCAAATGAAAAACAAAGAAAAATGCATTTTTTCTTTTTCTATATGGAAAGCCTTTTTTGTGTATAAAAATATATATAGAAACTAAAAATTGTTTAAAAAAAAAAAGCAAATAAATCAAACAAAAAACGAATTAGTATTTATTTTTATATATTTTTATTTTTCAATTATTACTTTACAGTTGTTTTTATTATTTAAAAACTTGAGAATATCCTAAATCCTCACTCCCAAATCCTGCTAAAATAGGAAAAAAAAAAAAAACAAAACAAAACAAAAGACCTCTCTTTACATTTTGAAACATTCAAAAAATCCTCAACAAAAAACAACATGATTTTGTTGTTAATTTTGTCATAAAACTCTAAAAACAAAAATCAAAAAAAAAAAACCAAAAACCAAAGTAAATTTTCAAAAAAAGGAAAAATTTTTCCAAAATGAAAATACGAAACATCGCGAAAACCATTAAAGAAAGAAAAAGACGTTTGTATATATAATTTTTTTAAGATCAATAAAAACAAAAACATTTAAAATAAGCTATAGACGACCAATGCATTCCATAAATATCACAATCAAACAATCAAATTATTATTGATCCATAATATTAGGTGACCGGCGGTTAATAGTGCGGAATTAAGAAAAAAAACAAAAAAAAAACAAAAAACAAAATCATTATTATCAAAACACTCGCCGTTTTTCAGATAATCCAAGTGAATTGTCGAAAGAAATCCAAGACGGACACCAATGGGGTACCTTTTTGTGTTATCTTCGATGCAGAAGCTGCTGTGCGCAGTGGCATCCATTAACTTGAAACAAGCGCTAACCTATGACAGAAATTGAAGTTTATATTATACTCCTGGTTCGCAAAGCAAAGCCTTCGTGTTACGATCAAAATGGTTCGATCGGAATTAAATTATTTACAGTCTATTCTTAGCGACTTAGTAAGAAATCTTATGCGACTTCTTTAGAAAGTCTAAATAAAGGAATTTTGATAATTATGATCATGTTGCTCTTAGCGGCCTAACCTCAATCACATTTTATTTCGTATTCCCAAAGCAAGTTCACAAAAAAAAAAAGGTGTGGAAAGAGTGTGAAAAACAAATTTCCTTTTTATCATTTGCCTGCAGGCGGACTGCGGCACTCATTTCTTCTCGTTCGTTGATAATTTTTCCATTTTTCATGATTCAGATTGTCGTTCAGTTCACATACTGCCTCGTGAAGCCTTTCACATCCGATGATTATGATCGAACGATAATGGTGTTGCTTTCAGGTTTTCATCTATCTTTCGCAATTCGCGCTATTAAAAGCGTATTTTATTCGGAGCTTTCCAGCTAGTCTATTTGGCGTATTCAAAGAGTCCATCCCCTTTCATTAAAATTTTTCTTATTTTTTCAAACCAAGTTGTGCGAAAGTCATATTTTTATCGGTTTTAAATCGTTATGAGCCATCACGCTTTTACTTTCTTGAGGGTGAATGATTTCGAATATTCTTTTTTTATTTTCTGGAATGCAATAAACACTATATAGCCGCTGTGCCTTGGTCTATGTTGAAAATAAAAGGTACGTTTTGAAAAGGGCGGTCCCCTTATTTTCCCTAAAGAACAATATTATTTTTGTAATAAACGTTCTTCAAATTTTTCCAGTTGATCTTGTTTGTCGTGGCGGCGATCAATGGCGATCTTAGGACCTCGGAGCTTAACTGTGATGTTTCAACGCCAATTTTCTTCCAAAGGCTAATTAAGGCATCCTTGATGTCATTAGAATACAATTCGCATGATGTATATAATTTCGCATATATTATATACTTATGTATGGGTAAAACGTCATTTATTTAAAAGAAAAAAAAAGATTAATATCCGCATTTTTAACCGCCTTACCTAATTAAAAAAATTCAGTGCTTTTAACAATGGTTTGGCCTAAAATGAAGAAAACCAATTTTGGCTTAAAAAGAAAAGAATCAGTGTAAAGATTGATGACCGACTGTCTCCTTAAGTAATTAAACGACAACAAAAATGAAAAAGAAGAAGCTATATATATATATATATATATATTTGTGTTTATATACATATTTTTATATATAAATATATTTACACATTTTATTGAACGCACTTAGTAAAACGAAATTTTTGTTTACATTATTACTTAATATATAAAAATATATATAGATGAAACATAATTAAAAAATTTCTATTCAATAAAATTATATATTTTTTTTCATTAGATATTTTTTTATTATTTTATTAAGTGCTGAAGCAATTTTTCTTAAATCTTTTTTTCGGCAAACGTTTACATAATACTTTTTTTTTTTTTTTCTTTCTATTAAATATATGTATAAAGGTTCTTTTTTTTCAATACTAATCGATTCAATTTTGATCCACGATTTTATTTGAATATTTTTATCAATAATCTTTTTATTAAAATTGTTATTATAAATTAATTATTATTATTATTAATTATCGAATTAACTGTGAAATACACAAAAACATTTTGAATTTTTTTTTTTTTTTTTCGTAAAGAAAAAGGAAAATCACACAATTTTCTTCTTTCTTGTTTCGTTCTAATTTTTTTTTTTCTTTTACTTTAAGTTGCTTTTAAATTTCGTTCTGTGTATCTTTCGTAGATTTTTTTTATAGATTAAAAAAAAATTCTTTTTTTTATATATACGTATTGAAAGATTGGAAGTAAAATTATGAAATATTTTTAAAAGAAAAACACAAAATATAATCAAAAAAAAAAGGCTTGACGTGACTATCGATAAATTTTTTTAAAGTAGTAGTGGGTCGATTGAACGATTGGCAGGACTGGTTTTCACCTGATCTCCTTTGTATTATTTTATCTGTAAAAAGTGCCTGAACCGGTCTAATCAATTGCTTAATCCTAGACTTAATTTTTTTTTGATTATTGAGCAATTTTACTGCTTGCTATCAGAAATCTGTTGGACTTAAACGTTGCAGGCTTTACAGGAGGTTCTCTCATGTACATTTTTATCGTTTAAATGCATTTGCATTTGCCTAGAACTTTTCCTAATATATACTAAGTAAAAAGATTTGCTTAAAATCGGACGTGTGCATGGGCACGAATCGGAATTCCACACAATGTTCTCCCATGATGTCAGAGACAAAGTAATTCGAACTCATCCTCGGCGTTTCCCCATATCGAAGATTATAGCATTTTCAATAATTAGTACTTTGAAGTTACTTCAAATTTAAAGAAGAGGAAGCAGAAACGGGTGTCAATATGGAGTGATTGAGAGATTGATTTCATTTTCTTCGTGAGCTATATGGCCGGCTCCATATCAGGGGCTAAGAAAGTAGCATTATAAAATAGTTTTGCGCTGATAGTGATTCTGACAACTCTAGCTAATCAATATAATGGATAATCTAAAGAATCCAAATCATCAGGAGAGTGAACATTATATTGTGTCTGACTGCCTTCAGTCAATTATCTTTCAATTGCTATCTTCATGTATTGCAAGTCCTTTGAGGGTCGTTCAATAAATGATTATGCGATTCTAACAAATATTTCCTTACAAATAGAAGATCGAGAACATTTCTAATTTGGACAAAACTTAGCAAAACATTAGTTTTGCAATCAGCCCAACCGCTGCAAACTGCAACAATAGACGTATAAGTAATTGTAGAAAAGATTGCATCTATCAGCATTAGATGATAGATGATAAACCAGTCCTTCATCGATAATGAATATATATATATATATAGATATACTATACATATATACATATACTATACCATACTATAATGTATAATTTTACTTCAAATCGTTTTCTTTATTTTTATAGACCCTTTAATTTAATATCTTTTCAATCAATTTATTTAATTACTTTACTAATTTAATAATATTTTCTTTATTATTTTCGTTTAACAATTAATGAAAAATTTTAGCATCGATTGGAGTCCACGCATAAGCCAAATGAACGTTTTCTAAAGACTCATTGAAATTTCATTCTGCTCACCGAAAAGTCTTTTTTCAAGTCAAGATCAATCAGTTCAGTTCAGTTCAGTTCAATGAATTGTTGTTCTTTTTTTTTAAACCATATTTTTTGTAAAGGAATCAAAATCAAAAAAAAAATGCATCATATTATAAATCATAATCTCTCACTCTCCCTCTCTCAAATACATCAACGAAAATATTTGTGAAACACACATCACACTCTCCCTTGCGTTAAGAAACACACAAGAGAAAGATTTTCTCTCGACTCGACTCCATAACTTTCCCGTTATATATAGATATATATGCATACATATATATGAAAGCATTTCTCTTACTTGTCAAAATATATATATGTTTTCGAACGTTTGATTTGAATTTTGTATGTGTTGTTGAACGTAAATTGTAAAAATTTGTAATTTGAGACTACGAGCTTTTCTGTGTTTTTGTCTTTATTTTTTCGCCTACCACTCACTCGATCATATCCTATATCAATACCAAAAAAACATGATTGTGTATGTATCCTTTCCTTAATCTCTCTTGTCTTTTTTTGTTGAGGAAGGGGAGAGAGAACGAGAATTTAAAAAATTTTGCTTATTGGGGAAGAAACGCGTGCGCGAGATTTAAAATAAAAAGGAAAACAAAAAAAAAAAAAAAATACAAAAAACATCCAAAAGATAGTAAATTAAATTTTTATAAGAAACCTTCTTATATATATATACATATTCTCTAAATATACCTACCTTTATATATATATATATATACATACATACATACATACATACATACATACATGTGTTTTATTATATATACATATGTTTCGATAGCATCAGATTTTTTACGTAATTTGTTTTTATTGTCATTAACTTGTTCGTTAGTTTTTTTGTAAAAACAATCATATTTCTCTTCTCCACAAAAACAATAAATTAATCATTCGTTACCATGAATCCCATTATTATCCCATCACCATTCCTATCCAACATTTCCCCTCCAAGCGTATCCAACCGCCCTTCCCCCACACACACATACACATACGTACACATACATACATACACACACACACACACAC